CGTATAATAATTATAATAAATAATTTCGAAGATATTTGAGGGGATCTATTTAAATGATTCACCCTGTATATTAAGTACATACATATTAAATATAAGCATGTAAGATTTGCACAATTGAAGAAATAAAACTTGAAATAGGAAAAACAAGCAATTATAGATTGTTGTAAAAAATATGAATAATTGTCTAATTAAATGAATCTTATTATGTTTTAGCACATTATGCTGGTGCAATTATGCATGCAGTTAGTATGAAAGTGTTGTCAACAGAACATTGCACTGAACAATTACTAAGAGTGAACTCTGAAGTAAATGCTGCAAATGGAATTATCTGTGCTACAACTAAGGAAGAAAAGAATAATGTTTGTGAAACAGATGTTGGTGGGCCTCTTGCTTGTCAAAATAAAAATGGCTTCTATGAATTGGCTGGAATTTATAGTCAAGACACAGGATGCCTTCCATCAAATGAAGTAAGTATTTACTAAATACCTACTATTTCTATGCTCTTTTTATAAACTAATGTTACATTAAATTAATAAGTCTGATTTTATGTTTAACTAAGCATCAGTATAACATGGATTGATATCATTTGCTGTTTTAGGTTGCCATTTTTGCTCCATTAGATGAAAAGTGGTTAAAGAATACCATGCTTCAGACTACATCTGAAGGAAGTAGAATAAATGTCAATTACAGAAAGAGTTCTCTGTCCACGGATAATCAATACTTACCTCCAAATTGAAACACATTAATATTTTGTATCTTTAATATTTAATATGTTTAATATTGTTTGTTTTTTGTTTTATGTTACATATTAACTAGTAATAAAACTATTATTAAGAAGAGTTGTGGATTAAAATCTTACAATTTTTTTACTGAATTTTACAAAATACTATCATTTCTGTACACTGTGTAATATTTTTGAAATGAAAATGGAATAAAATATTATTACTTCAGTTTAACAAATGATTGGACATATCAGAATTAGTGCTACATACATTAATTACTAAAACTGAATATACTGAATGTAATATTTGGTCCTTAAAAAAGTGTACTTATCAGATGACAGGCCTAATAGTGTTCTACTTATCTCATGCATCATGCTGGATTATGTCAGCAAAAGAAAAAATGAAGCGAGGTGCATCTATAATATTTTCCGTAGAATATATGAAAATTACGAGTGTAATAATTTTTATTACAATGATAAAAATCTAAATTTCTACTTATGGGTATGTTGTATCTCTGTTTATGGTTTATACATGTAAATTTATATTAAAAATACTTAAAAGCAAGCAATTTACTATATTTAGACCATTTTATAAAATCCAACAATTTTCAAAATATTGAGACAATAAGACTTTCAATCCCAATTTTGAGTGCTATTTTCCCCATTTCACTTTGGACGTCGGCATAAATATCGAAGATTTACACTTGGGTACTCTCTTTTGTAAGTTTGAAAAATGTACGAGGCTCCAGGATTTATTCGTAAATAACGAGTAACAATTTTATTAGGGTGAAAAATTATTCGTTAGTCACGAATGAATCTGCAAGATGTCCCAGCATAAGGCGAACATCTAAATATCTCCTTTGTTTTTAATGATCTTAGAAATATTTAAAGCAAAATTTTAATGATTTCGAAGAAAGAATACCGTGGAAGGAAGATTCTTCTTATGGTCGTTTTTCAAATTTTTTCAAGGTCCCCGGTATTTTTTCAGAGAAACATATTCATACGATTTTAACAAATTCTTGAATAATACACCGCTTTCTTATATGCATAAGTTCATAGTGGTACATTATTAAGGAAACAACTACGCACTTCCAATATTTTTCTATTCCCTTTTATTTAGGTACACATTTTCGATTCTGTTGAGACATTCTTCTTTCGTAATTACTCGGAATGTAATTGCAAATAAATATGTGAATATTTCATGTTATAAGAATTGTATAGAATTATATGTTACTATCTCTCGAAAACGAAATATAATAATAAACATAAATTTATATGACCTTTTCTGCTTTGACTACATCCACATACTTCCTTAGTTTATTCACTAAAACTTAGTACACTCTGTACATACATATGGATATTATCTAATTGCTTATATAAAACTTATGTATAATCAATAATATTTATAATTCACTATCGAGTGACTGAAAATGTCAAACTTTTTAACTGTGGCAACATTTTATCCTTTAATTGCAAGATTTTAGGCTTTTTATTAGAATCTGAGCACATA